GTTTATGTTTACATAGGATATGCTACAGTGCATTTGTTATTATCGATCATCTAAGCATTACCAATGAGTAGACCACTGTACTGAGGTGGAAAAAAAGTCTTGGCCATATAAAACTATAACGTATGAAAATTTTAACTTAATACTTTATGCTTTCCTTTTAGATTATTGGCTCAAGCTCTGTCTTAGTAGGTTTTTAATAGGATTATATGGGGGAGAAAAATCTTAACATAAAAATATTATTTTTCTCCTTGGATTACGGTGTCTCTGTTTGTGAAAGACAAGGAAGTGTGATAAAATTTGTTTCACCTTCATGGTCGTTGTCTTTAGTAGCTACATTATGCCATGTTAAGCCTTTAGATTGAACTGCAGTGTTAATCTCGTCAAAATGAAATGATGAAAATTTTAACAAAGGGTCCTCAATGATAACGAAGACCAGACAAAAATGTGCATCATGACTATAATTATTTGTTTTTAATTTAAACATATTTTTGACAAGAATATGACAAAAATAATAAATATTAACCATTAACAATGCACTAACAATGTTTCTTGAAGAAAAATCTAGAAAGAATGTGCCTGTTTTAAATAATGCACTCATAAAGAATAAAGAAGTAATATACTGTAGATATCAGCAGGAATGACCTGCTTGAGCTGAGTGAATGAAAACCAGTAAACTAAAGCACTTTACTAGCGGCTTATTTAACTCACCCAAACACATCCCAAAAGAGATTAATCAGATGCATACACAACATAAACGCAATATTACAACCTGCATCTGCACAAAATGACCTGAATGCACAACTATATGTGATAGTCAGGATGTGTAAATCATGTTGTGAATATGCTCTTTTTGGTAAATGTTGCCAGGTGTTTAAATTAATACTTAAAATGTCTGAGTATTTGGTTTAATTTTCTACTTTGTCAACAAAAATGTTATTTTGACTAAAATTAAATGCAATTTTAGTTAGAGTAAATTTTACAAAACTGAATGAATATGGCATGACAAAATATTGACTAAATTTAAATTTGAATATGATATTTTCATCAAAAGACAAAAATTATGACTAAATGTATGACTACTCTGTCTAATCAGGTTAAAAGTCTGGGTGTCATCTTCGATAAAACTTTGTCTTTTGAAGCTCATATTAACAGTGTTACCCGTTCTGCATTCTTCCACATTAGGAATATCAATCGTCTGCGTCCTGTCCTTTCACTGAAGAGTACTGCTACTTTTGTGCATGCTCTTGTAACATCACGAATCGACTATTGTAATGCTTTGTTTTATGAGCTTCCTTCCAAATCACTTCACAAACTACAGTTGGTACAAAATGCTGCTGCTCAAGTTATTACCAAAACTTCCATCTCTGAACACATCTCTCCTGTTTTACAAAATTTGCATTGGCTTCCAGTTAAATTCCATGTAAATTTTAAAATTTTACTTTTAACTTACAAAGCACTCAACAATTTGGCTCCTTCATATCTCTTAGATCTTCTCCATATACACACTCCTTCTCGCATTTTAAGATCGGCTTCTGCACTTACTCTTGTTCTCCCACACACTCGGACAACTTCCATGGGGTAACGAGTTTTTGGATATGCGGCTCCCCTTTTATGGAACTCACTTCCTGTAGAAGTTCGCAATAGTTCAAGTCTTCCAGTCTTTAAATCTCGTCTTAAAACTTATTTTTTTAGGCAGGCTTTTATGTGATTTTATGTTTGTTTGCTGTATTGGCCTTTATTGTTTAATGTTATTGTTTTACTCTGTTTTATGGACTTTGTAAGGTGTCCTTGAGTGCCATGAAAGGCGCCTATAATTAAAATGTATAATAATGATAATAATAATAATAATAATAATAATAATGTAAATTAATTTCACATGCCAAACAAAAATACTAAAAAAAATACTATTAATAACTGAATTATTAATGTTTTATTGGCATGTTTGGAGTATAGATATTGTACAATAAACTTGAATTACACTGAAAAAAATGGAATGTGTGGTCAGTTAGATTTAAGAAAAAATATTACGTATGGTTTATGTATGGATGTATGAAAACAAATTATGTTAATGTAACTCAATTCAATCACATGGAACCGATGTACGCATTTGAATTAAATAAAATCAATGAGCTTTTTTTTCAGCATGTGGACTTCTGTGTTCACTTTAAACCAGTTTTTTCAATAGTGAAACTTTAAATCTAAGAAAAGAAGAAAAGTTTCCATTGGCAAGAAAGGAGAAAGTGGAATTCATTCAACGCTACTTTGAGGAAGGACATTCATATTTACATGTGGACACACGAATCGACTTTCATGCTGCTTGTTGCAAAATGGTTCCAAGAGAGGATCACAGATCCGCTGGCCAAGCACAAGCAGATCATGGGCTTCAGTACAAGAAAAATCACCATTTGGTTGGAAAAAGAGTATATGCTTTATACAGTATATGTCCTGGTAGAACTACTAGCATTCCATATTTGTTCAAATGATCCTGCTTGATACAGCATGAAATCACAGGAACCCTTTTCCTTTGATGCACATTCTCAATGGCCACATCTGTATGTGTTTAGCACAAGGCCTATAATATTTTGAAAGGTTCTGCAAAGAAATAATTCATAGGCAAACTTTAAAGACACTTCTCCAACCGTGTACTTTACACTATGCAAATGAGTTCCACACTAGGGTGGGCTACACTGTGGCCACTTCTGGCATCAATAGCCGATCACATTGCTGGAATGGAAAGGCACCAGATTACAATATCCTCCTTATCAGAAAGGGATAAATGTACCTCCCCGATCGGCACCTCCTTGTTCTGAGTTTCTAACCTGTCGAGGAAAGAGACATTAACAGAAACACCATGGTCTGAGTCTTTGGCCCATGAGGTAGAAGACATTAACAGAAACAACAGTCCCGAATCGCTGACTTGACAAGGAAAGAGGCAATGGTATGATTAAGGTTAAGCTTTTGTGAATGAAACATTCCCTTCAGCTGTGTATCCCAGACTGTAAGGATCCCCACATTGGCAGATATTGCCTGACCCACATGGCTCCTGAGTGACGCAGCCAGTCTGCGAAGGACCCTGTGACTTCTTCATCTGACCCAACTGCATGGTCCAGACTCTAAGGACCTCCCTGGCACAGTAGGAGTTAAGCATTCCCCAGCACAGTGTGGCAACGTCTACTGGAACGTGACTCAGCGCCTTTCCCACTGCACGCAATACACATCACCAGTGGAAGACGTCTCTGCCATTGGACTGATCACCCGACTGTGTGGAATGTAAATATAAGCTTAACAAACCTCTTTCCAGAGACCTTGGCATTAGTTTCTAATTGCAGGATATGTTTGTCTAATTTGCTTATAACATTTATCTGGTGTCAACTCATTACAAATAATAGTTAGATTATTTGTTTAATGATAAATGAGCATTTATTTATCATCATTTGGCAGATCCTTTAAGTGGTTTCCCCATAAGATGTTTGCTACCATACAATTCTCTTCCACTGCTACATCCAACTCAACAGCATTGCATTTATCCATTCTGTGTTCACTTCATATATTGTTTTCCATGTGTCAATTTGGCATCTTTTGTTTAGTCATTAGTTTATTATTCATCAGCAGTGCATATTCATTTATTAGTATGGTTCAGTAGTTGTGATATTTATGCTCGCATTAATTATCATTAATAAAATTCATTTTATTACAACTATGTCTTCCTTGTGTTGATGATCAGAGGCTCTACTAGTTTTCTAGAATCTCACAAATCCTCCAGATAAGTCAGCTGGCAAACTCCCTCCAATTTACATTAATTCTAATTTATTCAACTGTCCTTTTGGATTGTTCTCATATTGTTAAGGTGAAATTCGTTAGCTGGTGCCCAGAGGTAAAAGGAGGGAGGGGTCATCTGACACACTCAAACAACCACCTTAAGTGACATATGACCGAAACTCACTATGTCATTGGTGCCTTGAGTAAAAATCACTACAGTGGATATGAGGCAAAACAAACAAACAAACAAAAAAACATACAGACTATAAGTGATACTGTGGCATACACGACAACAAACAACAACAACAGAAGCTTGACCATGAGACACTGAAAAACTAGAACTTAAATAGTGGTGCTAACAAGGCATAACGAGACACAGGTGAGAGTGATTAGTGAGACATGTGACATGCTGGGGCTGATGGGTAGTGTAGTTCTGCCCCTTGGCGCTACCATGACAAATGTATGATAGGTGGCCCGCTGGCCAGCATGTTGCAGTTCACCTGATGGTGGCAGCAGATAGTGTTAACATAGTTAGCTAAATTTCAAGATTATTTTTTCTCTGACTACACCTGCAAATTAATTTACTGAATGATATTTAGTTATGGCTACAGAAACAATGCACAAAGTTAACACTGAGAAGAAGTAATTTCAAAAGAGCTGGAAACAAGAATTTTATTTTAATCAAGTGCCATAGCAAATGTGTATGCCTCCTCTGTCTGTTGTGGTAATTAAGGAATTTAATATCATGAGACATTATGAAACAAATCATGGGCATTGCAAAAAAATATTCAGAGGATGAGAGGGCAGAGAAACTGAATCAGCTGGAAGCTGTCCTGGCAGAAGCAGGGTAATTTATCAGAGCAAATGGGGTGCAACTCATTACTAGGACTAATAAGTGGTGATGCTTCCAGCCACTCAGCATGGAAAACATCTTGTGAATTCTTGAAAGAGTCATTAACTAAAGTGGTCATTTGTCCAGAGAAAAAGTACAAATTTATGAATATCATCTTGTGTGTCACAACTACAGCTGTCAGGTGATATCCTGAAGTAATTGTTGTTGTTCTTCTTCTTTCAGTTGCTCCTGTTAGGGGTCACCACAGCGGATCATTCGTCCGCATATTCGATTTGGTGCAGTTTTTATGCCGGATGCCCTTCCTGATGCAACCCTCCCCAATTTTATCCGAGCTTGGGACCAGCACTGGAAGTGTACTGTCTTGTGCAACCCCAGTGGCTGGGGTTGGTTCCCTGGCTGGGAAACGAACCCAGGCCATGGCGGTGAGAACGCCAAGGCCTAACCACTAGGTCTCCAGGGACCCGATATCCTGGTGAAGTTACTCCACTAAAATTAAATTCATTATATTGGAGCTTTAATAATAATATTTTGGTGACTGGCCTTCTGGTATTTTGATGTGGTCTAATCTTGCTGCCCTTGAAAAAGGTTTGGACCCCCCTGCAATAATGCATCCATAATTATTAGATTACTGGAAGTATGTAAACAGTCCCTGGAATGAAGTGAAGGGCACCGTTTCTGGATAGAGTTTGTGTGGAGTTCAACTCCATTTCCCACAATACACCTCGGACTATAAACATGGGCTCATTGGACTACAACACCCACACACCACGCTCACTTTCACTATGTACTAACTAGCTGTATATGGTTGAAATGACAATAAACTCCACTTGACTTGACTTGACTTGACTCATTGTCATGATCACAGTCACCGGATTTCTGATTACACACACCTGGACTCACTTACCACCACACCCTATGTAAGCACACTCATCACAACCATTTACTGCAAAGTATTCTTTCAGCTGTGTATACAACTGACAAACCAAGCATTTGTTTGATATTGCTCATGGTTTTTGGATTTTGGATTGTTTTCTGGTTTTTGATTCTGCCTTTTCTCTGCCTTGTCTCTTTGACATTCTGTTTGATCATCACTGACTTTGTGCCTGTCCCTCAACCTTGTGTTTTGCCTACTGTTTTGGACTTTTTTGCTATTTGCCAGTTTTTTTTTCTTAAATAAAAGCATTCATTGCAACTGTCACCTTCTCTGCCACTTTACACTGTTTAGTAGATAAATACCCCATATTGTAGTAGATAAATACCCCATATTGACCTACATATTAATACTGTGCACATGTGTATGTGGAAATAGCCTACCTGGTAACTCTGACAATACTCCTCTCTCAATAATGTGCTTCCTGTAGAGGGTCTTGAGGACTTTAGCACTGCCAAACCTCTTAAATCGACTCTTGACATTGTTATAATACCACTCCAAAGACTGGGCCCTCAGGAGCCTGTAAACACACACACATAAGAATGGAGGAACAGAAAGCATTATACCATTAACAGAGTCTGTGTAATAAAGTAACCAGCAATTGGTAGTTTGGGAGTTTTTCTAAAATTAGCAGTTCACTCCCAGCTCACAGTATCATCTGGACTTTAAGTAACCAGTGACTCCACCAAATGGAATTGGTCCCCAGATATTATTTACGTTTAAGTTTCTATATTAATAATTTTTTGTAGGTTTTTTTTTGTAGAGTTTGACATTAATCAAACGGCACTATACCATCTTTTATTTCCAACCACAGACTAAAAGCTGACTCTATTAAATAAAATCAGTTCCGTGGTCTTCTGTATGCTTGGTTAGAATATAGTTAATTTATACCAAAGAACTGAGCACATATAATGAACAGATTATGAACCTATTAAGACCATCATTTTGCTATTTTCAAATTATCTTCCAATATCTGATTAGACTTAATGAAAGAAGAATCTTTGAGTGTATTATGTATAAGGATGTAGTAAGAATGGTACAAACAAAAAAAGATCCCTATGATGTACATACCAGAGTGTAAAATATGTAATTAGAATTCATGCACAATACCATAAATGTTGTCACAGTATGAATTATAAAAATGTGGAGGGGGGCATGGTCCAGCGCTGGTTTGTGAATGGAGGGTGGAGTTGGGAGAGTGAGTGGTAAAGACCTGCACCTGTGGGGGATTTTTCTAACAAGTGTTCTGTGTTTCACTGAGAGGCAGGGAGGATAAAAGGGGGAGCAACCAGAGACAAGGGAAAGAGAGCTGAGCAGCACAGAATCGTGTATATACGTGTATATGTTTTTGTGAGCCTCGGAGCATGGTGCTAAAATCGCTGAAAATTGAAGAAGAATAAAAAGTAAAATAAAGAGCACCCTTTCGAGTTGACCCAAGCCTACCTCCCATCTCCTCATTTCCTGTTGAACCTATGGGAGTGTCACAAAATTAAAGCATTTTTTAAATTTAAATTTGTAATAATTCCAGCTATTGTTAGCATCAGTAATAATCTCATTTTTGTATTAATCAACAGCAAATCCTTGACCAAATTTAGCTGGGCTTCTTCTGCCATTGTATTTTATTTTATTTAGATTTATTTATTTTATTTAGATTTATTTTCTGTTTCACTGAACATACATTAACACACATGCAGAAACTCGTGAACTCATCTGGTTGAACCTATCTAGATAATCATTGTAAAAAATCCTGACCTGAAACATTTCCTTTAAACTTTTAAAGATTTAAATTTTTTCATGTGCTGCAGAAATGTACAGTAATGATACTGTATGTGTGTTACTACAATATTTGCAGAGACTAAATATAACAAGCTCTATCATAGTATAAGGTATGTGTGTGTGTGTGTATGTGTGTGTGTGAGAGAGAGAGAGAGAGAGAGAGAGAGGGAGAGAGAGAGAGAGAGCGCCTTGGTATTTGAAATGTCTTTTTCTACTCTGTGTGTTACGTTAGCTATAATTTGTTGCAAGTGTATGACTGTGGTGCTGGATAATGTCAGTGAGAGAGAAATGGAAGTAGACAGACACAAAGTGGCTCATGTCCAAGAAACAGAGGATTCTCAAACAGCTGCCAAGGGCAATCTCCCACCAAACTTCTGCAGATTCATCCTCATGTCCAATTTCAATATGGCCCTGTCTTTCTTTCAAACAGTATCACATCATCTGAATTGCCGTAAATCAACAAAAACCAATGTCAATCTTCTTCATCTGACTTTCTATGCAAGATGATGTTCCACAATCATTCACTGCTTTTTCTTTTCATTCTTACACTCTCCAATCCTCAGTTTCATTTCATTAAGTTCTCCTTCTCCTCTCAGATTAAGGTAACACTGATCCATTTTTAATTACTTTAAAGGGGGTGGGTGGGGGGGTGGGTGGGGGGGGGTGGGATCAGACTAACAGAGATAACTGAAATATTTTAAGTGTCCCCTGAAGGTCTCCTGTTTTAAGCTCTGGATCTCTCTCTCTCCCATATTGAGTATTGAGGCATGGTTTAAGAAACAGCTAACCTTTTACCCTGATGGGGTAATCAATATAGCAACACTGTATCACAATAGCGAAGTCATAAGATGTTCTTGCTTGTTAATATTCAAAATTTTAGTATGACACAGAATAGGATATACATAATGTTTCCCCATTACAGTATACATATGTACACTCTTAGGAAAAGGGTTTTTCTAGAGTTCCTTGGTTAACCCCTAATATCCAGATTTACATTCCTCACTCGGGTAACTACATAACTCCTGTTATGGCTTATTCCTGTTTAACTCTGTATTACAGTATGTCTGTATTCTAACATGTGGTACCTGTGCATGAAGCACAACTAAATTCTGCACACATACTTATTTGCAGCATAGCTCAATTGGCAGGGGAAACTGTGTCAGAATGAGGGATCACTGGCAATTTAGTGAGCCAAACACCATCCACTGGAAAAGAAAAACGGTTCCTCAAGGTTTCTATTTATAGTTAACTGTCCTAGCTTTCAAAAGGGGCTGTATTTGGAACCTTCTCTGAAAAGCAAAGTCTATGTCTTTGCTGTTTTCTTTAACCAAAAACAAGCAAAATGACTGAAGAACATGTCATTAAGGTGCTAGATGGAACTTTTTTTATAGTGTACTGCTAAATTGCTGATACAACTCCAATGCATCACATCCTTTTGGTGATAGATGTAACGGCTGAAAGATTGCAAAGTACTATGCAAAGTTTCTGGAGAAGCAAGACCTTCTGTCTGGCAGAAGTACTTCATTTACCATGTATAAAAAGAATAAATAAGTAATTAAATAAATAAGCTTGTCATCCATCCATGCATCCATTCATCCATCTACCCATTCATCCTTCCAACCATTCATCCAAAAGATAGAAGACATTTTAAAGCTTTCATCAGTTACCTTGCCAAATACCATCTACCTCTTACTCCCTGGCAAAATTTCATTATCATATTTGGCTTTCTCAGTCTTTAATGAATCGAGTCTCTTTCTCTTGAGTAAAATGAGTGCAGAGAACATTTCTTTGTTATTAAACTGCAGATGAACACACGGGCTGGCTCTTAGATGAGGGCTGCTATTGTTACCTGCTTCTCTGTTGTTGTTCCTCTTTCAGCTGCTCCTGATAGGGGTCGCCACAGCAGATCATTGGTCCGCATATTTGCACAGTTTTTACGCCAGATGCCCTGCCTGACGCAGCCTTCCACAATTTTATCCGGGCTTGGGACCGGCAATGAGGGTGCACTGTTGCATGCCACTGGGGTTGGTTCCCTGAATTGGAATCGAACCCAGTCTCCAGCAGTGAGAGCACCGTGGCCTAACCACTAGTCCTCCAGGGACCCCCTATCTGCTTCTCCATTACAAGGTCAGAAAAATAAGTTTCATCAAAGAACCATGAGCTATTCACATCTGGACTCTATCAATCAGAATATTATTAAACAAGGCACTGTGACAATTGAGCATAGGGTAATGAATTTGGCTGAGGTGTCAATCTGCAGTAGCCCAGATGCAGACATGTAAATTCATCAAGCTTATAGCCATACAAATAGTTTTAGTTATATACACTCCTTTAATGAGGAACACCACTATTTTCCAAGAGGATTCATAAAAATAAAAACACTAGCATGAAACAGGGAATAGTGAAAATAAACTACAATTTCTTCCTTCACTCTCCACCTCTGCAATTTTTTATATTCCACATACATATAACACAATGAAAAATAGGCTACACTGCTCTACATTGCTCATGACAGTATGGTGGAAAAGCGAAAGGCATGAAGGTACAGTGCATTTATGTGCATGAATATGAATACACCGGAGTGCCTGAGTGTATACACACACACACACGTTTCATTTTTCCCTCAACCTTTAAATCTTCAAATTCGCAAGTGAGTGGATACAAGAAGAGTGGGGCTCAGTTTATTGTGGTAAAACACAGGCAATCACAATAAAGGACAAAAACAACTGATAACCAGGTAACATGCGCAAGGTTGGACGATGAGGAAACAGGTATACCAAATCCAAACAAGATGAAAACCAGACTATTGAACACAGAGAAAAGGCTCATAGAAAGATACCTGGAGTGAGACTTTGCAAGAGTGTAGAGTTGGATGGTTAACACTTTAGAATAAGATTCCTAAATAACCCAATAACTATGCAAGAACTGGAAGAGAGTCTTAAAGTAAATTAAAGTAGATAACACTTGGTTGCATCAAGTCAGTGACCAACTGACATCACCAAACTGTTGCATTCTTCATTTGTGATGCTTTTCAAGGTTTATACCGCAGCTTCTGTCAGTTGCTGTTTGTTTTAAGGGGTTTCTGCCTTCAGTCTCCTCTTCATGAGGCGAAATGCATGCTTCCATTGGGTTAAGGTCTGGTGATTGAGATGGCCAGTCAAAAACCTTCTACATTTTTCCCTGGTGTTGTGTTGGCAGTGTGTTTTGGGTCATTGTCTTGCTGCATGATGAAGTTCCTCCTATTTAGATTGGATGCATTTCTCTGTAAATTGGCAGACAGAATGTTTCTGTAGACTTCTGAATTCATTCTGCTGCTACCATCATGAGTTACATCATCAATAAAGATTAGTGAGCCTGTTGCAGGCGCAGCCATGCAAGCCCAAGCCGTGACATTACCTCCACCGTGCTTAACTGATGAGCTCATATGTTTTGGATCATGAGCAGATCCTTTCTTTCTCCACACTTTGGCCTTTCCACCACTTTGGTAGAGGTTAATCTTGGTTCCTGAACATTTGTGACTCATCTCTGTGACTCAATCTGGCCTTCCAATTGTTACTGCTGATGAGTGGTTTGCATCTTGTGGTATGACCTCTATATTTCTGCTCTCGAAGTCTTTTTCGAATGGTGGAATGTGATACCTTCGGCCTTGCCCAGTGGAGGTTATTGGTGATGTCACTGACTGTTGTTTTTGGGTTTTTCTTCACAGCTCTCACAATGTTTCTGTCAACAACTGCTGTTATTTTCCTTGGCCGACCTATTCGACGTCTGCTTGTTAGTATACCAGTGGTTTCTTTCTTTTTCAGAACATTCCAAATTATTATATTGGCTATGCCCACTGCTTGTGCAATGGCTTTGATTGATTTTCCCTCTTTTCTCAGTTTCAAAATGGCATCCGTTTCACCCATAGACAGCTCTCTGGGCTTCACATTGGTTTAACAACAAATGCAGTCTTCACAGGCAAAACCCACAGCTCAAACCAAGAGGAGACATTCAGAGATATTAATTGTATAAACAATCAATCTAACAGGGCACACTTTGGCAACAAGATTTTGTGATTTTGATCACTTGAAAAATGGGTGGAGATGTTTGAAAGCAAATGTTTGAAGAATTTGCAAATGTTAAAATGTTCCTTAATGGTAAACTAATATGCTGTGCAATTAACAATACAAAATAATGTAATTATTCATGACTATTTTAATCACTTCACAGCACTACTTTTTGTATAATTTGGTTTCTGTAAATTCCATATTTGTATGTATGAGATCCTGTAGAGCAAGGATGTCAAAGTCATTTTAAGTAAGAGGCCACATTACACTTAATATAATTTCATGTAGGGCTAGGGCTGAACAATGAACAAGCTTTATATAGAAATAGTGATTTTAAAGAGTGCGATTTTCAAATCACAAGAGCTGCGATTTAAATTAGTCAGTATCCTTATTATTATCTCACCATATTGCCAAAAGCTATGTGAGATAACAGACACTAGAAGTACTTAGCTACAGACAAACATTATTTATAATAGCTCTGTAATCACGACTAACAATAGAGAGAGCTCGAGAGCAAATGAGACTCAGCAATCCAAGTTCTTTTTTCTTTCAGCCACTTTACATCCAGTCTGTTGTGTTAATGCCCTCTTCCTGACTGACAAAAAAAAAAAAAATTAATTAGTAAACGAGAGCATTTGCTAGGCTTGGCTGAGAGGAGGCGTGGTTTTCAGTGGAGGATTCTGGTCACTTTCAAACTAGGCTCATTCCAATAAGTATAAAACATTAAAAAGTTAGTATCTCTTAAAACAAAACAAAAATAAATCACCAGAAATGTAAATTCACCTATTAATAACTAAAAAAATGAATGCTTTTGTGCTCTCTCCTGATTAGTATTTTCTTTGATCATGACACTATTTCAACAATGTTCAACACTATTTTCACAATGTTCAACAATGTGTCTAGTAGCGAATGTGTGTCATCTGAGGACCCTGAGGATCTTTTCATGGAGATACTAGATTGTAATCATGTCTTGCAGATATGTAAACCTCTAATATAGGCCTGGAACCTGGAATAGAAAATAATCACGATTGCATATAAAATTCTCAGTTTGATATTTCACCCATTTCGTTCAGCCCTAAGTGGGTCAGACCAAAAAATCACTCATCCCACTTTTTCCCGCGTGCTAACACCTGAATCTGCGCATGCGCTAACCTTATATTTAACCGGAAGAACCTTCTTCCAACCGAACAGGGTCGGGGGAAAATAACATGTTAACAATCTCCCTATACTTTAAACAAAAACAAAATAAATAAATAAATAAAATAAACATATATAACAAAGGTTACAGTTACCACAAAAACATTGTTGCATATGCCATTGAAAGTGTAGAGTCTTTTCAAATGAACCTTTTTCCTCTCACTTTTTTTTTTTTTTTTTTAAGTGTCCACAGTCCTTAACTAAGTGCTTTCAATAGCACCATAGTCCTTCACTGAGTACTTTCAATAACATCAGGGCCAACGCTCCTTTTCTTGTAAGACAGTCAGCAAGTTGAGTTTTTGTGTCCGACCAGGGTACCTTCCTGATCCTTTTACTCTGTATGAGCTCCTTTATGCTGCTTATTTCCATTCGAAGATGCTTCTCAGAGATCTGTTTTTTTGACTTAAGGGCATCAAACAGAGAGTGATTGTCTGTCACACAAATCAACGGAGGAGTATTCAGCTCAGCATTTCCAGTAGTAAGTTCAGAAAAGAGAGTAGCCAGAAAAATAGCATTATCTATTCCATCTGACAGGGCCAGAGTTTTCCCTGCCAGAGTACTCCTCACCACACGTCTAATTTTCTTAGATTGCCAACAAAGAGGAGAAAACTTCCCTCCTTCTCCCATGAGACCAATCAATGTCCCCCCTTGTGTGCCCCATCAGGGAGATTCCCAAGGGAAGCATCACTGAAAACAACAAAGTTTAGAGCATCACTGTTTCCCAAATGCTGAAATCTGAGAGTCACTTTTTCAGATTTAAGCTTTCTAATGACCTTATTTGTCTCGTGAATAGACTGGACTGTAGCATACTTTATATTTGATGCTAAACTGCTCACATCAAACATAATGTCTGGTCTGGTTTGTTTTGCAACCCACAGTATCTGTCCTATTTTTGACCTAAGCTGCTCTTTTTCAGTCTCATTAAGAGAGGCATCCCTCTGCACTGCTCTTGCTACTTGCAGCTGAATAGGCTGTAGGTTTTCAATGTAACTATGCTGATGTACATGAACTACACCATTAATGGTAACAAAGTCCATTCCCACATAGCAGAAATTTTCATGTTCCTCTCATCCAACATGTAATGCAGACTAGTATGGAGATCACATCTATTGAGAAGTTTTGTGAGCCTGCCCAAAGAAAATCATCAACATGACATGCGAGTACTCCAGTTACCTTACACTGTTCATCTAACCAATAAAATACTGCTGGATCTACTTTAGACATTCTACCACCTGTACTCAGCATGATTTCTTTCACTTTGTTGTACCAATACAATGATGCATCTGCAAGGCCGTAAATACACTTGTTTAGTTTCCATATAATATTTTCCTTTCCCACTTCGGGAGGGGGCCGAACATAGATTTCTCTGGACAACTGCATGCCCTGTAAGAAAGCAGACTTCATGTCCATGGAATGGACTTGCCACTTATTTTGACAGATTACAGCTAATAATAGCCTAAGAGAGAGAGTCAGAAGCACAGGTTGGGGAATTTTTCTGTAGCTCTTGAACATTAAGCTCTTCAAAACCTCTGGCTACAAGTCATGCTTTGGGCACAATACCATTTGGAGTTTCTTTGAGACTACAGACCCATCTGGTAGAGACACACTTTTGACCTGCATCATCAACTTCCTCAAAAACATTGTTTTTGTACCAATTCACTATTTCATCCTGTTTAGCTGCATCAAATGAAATGTCTTTTGTTATGAGTACATCAGTCTCCCTATCAGATGATTCAATGTGGAGATTATGAACACATGACATATCCACTGACTCCTTTTGCCCATCACTGCCATCATGTTCAATATGTTGCAGATTAAACCAGTTTTTATATTTTCCAGAGGCTTTGCCTGCTCCGCC